CCAGCAGCAGCAGCAGCAGAAGCGCCTGCAGCAGCAGCAGCAGCAGCAGCAGCAGCAGCAGCAGCAGCGGACGCGCCTGCAGCAGCAGCAGCAGAAGTGCCTGCAGCAGCAGCAGCAGCGCCGAAGAAGAAGAAAGGGTTTTCTCTCTTTGGCAAGAAGGAGCCGAAGCAGCCAGCAGCTTGAAGGTTTTAGGATATGCTGCAGCTGATTATAAACAAAAAGTAAAAACAAAATAAATAAAAATAAATAAATTAGAATGAATAAATAAATAATGAATAGTTAGAAAGTGGTGCTGCTGCCTGCGGGCAGCGCGTGCTGCGTTTGCTGCCATTTAAAACAGGTTGGCTCTGTTCTTTCTTTTGCCGCGAAAACCCTAAAAAAGGGTTTGGGGACCTGCAAACCCTAAAAAGGGATTTGGGGCCCCGAAAGCCCTAAAAACGGGTTTGCAGCAACGCTGACATGTGTATATAGACAAAAAACAATTATTTGTTCTCTTATGGATTAATACTTTTGTCCATAATGCCCATTCCAAAAAACCATTAGATATACGTTAGGGTTTAGGGTTTAGGGTTTAGGGAGTTTTCGATTTTATCATTTATGAGAAAATGCATTTATTTGAAATTTAACAAAATGGCATTTTGCCAGAAATCACAAATTGAATGAAAGGAGTTAAAAGCTGATTCAAAAAAATGAAATAAATAAGATTTCTTTTTTTAGTTTTAATGAATTTGCTTTCAAATGGTTTTCTTTTGTTCTTAAAAAACGTAAAAGATTTATTTTTGTTTTTAATTTAAAATAAAAAACAGAAAAGGGTTTATTGTCTTCGTCGCCTTTGGGGGCTGCGGTGTACGTACACCTGGCTGTTTCTTCACTACCGGCAAACCCCACACAAACCCTAAACCCTAAACCCTAAACCCTAAACCCTCGCTGCGTGTGCAGCGAGGGTTTGAAGGGTCCTCTGCGCGGGCGACACGCTGTCTGTACACCGCAGCTTTGCAAGGAAGCAGCTTTTTTGGTGCTCCCTCAACACACGGATTAGGGTTTAGGGTTTAGGGTTTAGGGTTTAGAGTTTAGCTGTTGGAGCAGCAGGCAGCGCGCAGCAGCGAGTTTGGCTGCTTGCGGTTCACTTCAGGGTTTGGGGTTTCGCGCACTCAGCTAGGGTTTAGGGTTTAGGGTTTACGGTTTAGCGCGGAGAAACCCGCCATTTTAAATGAACAGATGGGGCAAGAGAAGAAGAGAAAAAGTTTTATTTTTATTTAATTAAATTTATTTTATTTGTTTCCAAAAGAGGTGTCTAAACCCCAGGTGTATGCGCAGCGGCAGGTGGCTGTGGAGCGAGGTGTACAGACACCCGAAGCAGCAAACCCCAGCTCCGAAGAAGGTCGAAAGGTGCGATTTGGGCCTTACAAAAGAAAAAAAAGAAAATAATTGAATTAATTGAATTAATTTAATTCTTTTTAGAAGACTTAGGAGAAAACGGGGTTGAAATACCCCAAAATTTCCTCCATTTGCCTTTCTTCGTTTCCGGCTCGCGAGCAGCAACCACTGCGGGCTAGCTGCTGCTGCTGCTGCTGCTGCTGCTGCGAGTCGATTTGAGCCGTTTTTGAGTTAATTTATTTAAAAATAAAACAAAAAATAAAAGGAAAAAGGAATAAAACAAAAAGAAGAAAAACAGCTTTAGAATTCGCGGCGAGTGCGGGGCCACGGGGCCCCACCGGCTCAACGGCGAAACTGAAAGGGGGTTTAATTGTGTTGAGTCTTTTGGCTCTTTGTCTTTTTTTTTAATTAATTAAATAAAATAAACCGAAAGAAACCACTAAAGACTCCAAGTATGCAGCTGTTGCGCTGTGAACGGGCGGCAGGGGGCCCCGCGGGTGTGGGGCCCCGGGGCCCCTCTGCGGGCTCTCGGACTTGGGAATTACTTTGAAGGTGAAAAAATTGGATTTATTGGCTTCAACTTCTGCACAATCTTCAAATTTGAAATTGGAGAAGACTGGAATTAGTTTTGTTCGGAAATCTGCGCGGAATTTGGCGAGCTTGCCGTTGCGCGTTGCGGCGGAAGCTGGGGTGTACGTACACCTGAAAGGCGGGGTGTACGTACACCTGGAGAAAGCTGGGGTGTACGTACACCGGAGCGCAGCTCCCGCGACGGCGATTTTGTGGGAAGGGAAGCGGAATTGTGAAAACAATGAGCGGAGAAGAAAGAAAAGGACTTGAGTCTTTTTTGAGTTTCGGTGGAAAGCTGAAAAAGCTGAAACGCGCGGGCTGGCTGCGGTACGTACACCCCAGCGACGTGGAAAGCGTCGCCGATCATTCTTTCGGAGTTGCATTTCATTTTTTGGGACTTCCCGATTCGGACTTAGTCGTAAATGGCCAACTCGCCGACAGAAACAAGTGAGCGCAACTCCCTCGCCCGTTCCGCAGCAGCAGCAGCGGCAGCAGCGGCAGCAGCGGCAGCAGCAGCAGCAGCGGCAGCTTGCTGCCGGCAGCAGCAGCAGCGGCTTGCTGCACAGCAGCAGCAGCAGCGTGCTGCTGTTGCGCAGCAGCACGCTGCTGCAGCTGGCGAGCAGCAGCAGCAGCTTGCTGCTGCTACTGCTGCTGCTGCTGCTTTCTTGCTGCTGCTGTTCAGCTTGCTGCTGCAGCGCAGCAGCACTAGGCCTTGCTGTTTTTGTTGAAAAAGTTGAATTGGAAAATAATTTTTGAAGTATTTTGCGAATTTGGGATAACTTTTGCAACTTTTTGCATCAATCTTTATCATTTTTCTTGAAGAATGTGAATTTGATGTCCGTTTTGAATTATTTTGCATTTATGTATTCATTTATTTATTTATTTATTTATTTGTTTCGACTTCCACTCCGCAGGTGCGCCGCAATGGCCCTGGCCCACGACCTCGCGGAGTCCGTCGTGGGGGACATAACTCCTTTGGATGGAATTTCAGAAAAAGAAAAAAGAGAAAAAGAAAAAAATGCTTTTCTTTTTATTTGCAAATTTCTCGACGACAAACGCGCCAAAGAAGTCCGCGAACTCTGGGAAGAATACGAACGAGGTGACTCCCTTTTATTTCATTCAAGTTGCAACTTTTCAAGTTTTGAAACATTCAAATTTTCAAGTTTTTAAATATTCAAGTTTCAAGTTTTCAAGCTTCAAAATATTCAAGTTTCAAATTTTCATGTTTTTAAATATTCAAGTTTTCAATATTCAAGTCTCAAATTGTCAAGTTTTTAAATATTCAAGTTTCAAAATTCAAGTTTCAAAATTCAAGTTTCAAATTTTCATGTTTTAAAAATCCAAGTTTCAAAATTTTCATGTTTTAAAAATTAAAGTTTCAAAATTCAAGTTTCAAGTTTTCAAGTTTCAAACTTTCAAATATTCATGTTTTAAAAATTCAAGTTTCAAAAATTCATATTTCAAAAAGCTCAAATTTGAAAATTTTTTATTTCAAAAACAAATTCAAAATTTGAAATTTCAAAAAATTGAATT